TCAGGCACAGAAAGAGAAATACCACATGTTCTCACTTATTGGTGGGAGCTAAAAATTAATAAATGAATTCACACACACACACACACACAAAAAAAAAACCCCATAAAAACTGGGGGCGGGGGGGAAGAAGATATAACAACTACAACTCCTTGAAGTTGATACGACAAGCAAACAGAAAGGACATTGTTGGGTGGGAGGGAGGAAAGGGAGGAGGGAGGGAGGTTTTGGTAAGGGGCAACAATAATCAACCACAATGTATATCAACAAAATAAAATAAGAATAAAAAAAAATTCTTAGCTAACCCTGCGATTGCTTACTCTTTCCTCTTACAGCTTTCTTCCCTGTGTTGACCAATTCCATTTTCTTCGCTGCTGGCTGCGAAGACCACACCCTTCTTAAGGCAGGCCCACAGTTGCACTTAATAAGCAGGAATCTACTGCACTAAAGGTAAAACACAGCCTCCCAAGGGATTATTCTTTGATTCAGTAAATAATTTCCTATCTACCTTGTCGAATTAAAATAAAATCTATTTTTTAAGGAAATAGCCTTGTAAGAGAACCAAGATGATTTTATAAAAATTTGGAAAAAATGAGTCCAATAGGCTGTGTTGAGAGTTGCTCAAACTAGCTATTTTAGACTTTTACTTTCAGTTCTATTTGATGTCATAAATAATAGAAACTTGGTATACTCTGATGTTAATTTCAATGAAATTCTCCAAATGACATAAAACAGTGGCTAAGAGTTTGGCTCTGACATCAGGAGTCTGGGTTCAAAATCCTTCTTCACCTCTCATTAGCTGTGTTACTCGACATCTCTGTGCCTCAGTTTAATTTTCTATACTTAACACAATAGTATTATCTTGCAGAGTATTTCTGAACAGTAAGTAGAATAATCTAAGTAAAACATTTAAAGCAGTGCCTACCACATGGAAAGCAACCAACAGTGCTGGTTATTATTACAATATTAAAAAAAGTTGTTTCTCATTTAATGAGTCCAATTTTATAATTTTCTTATCTAGGAGAGCACAACTGATTGATAAACTTCTCTTCTTGTCCCCTAATCCAGTTTTTTCGTTTTTTTCCTAAGCAGTTTTAGGTTTACAGAGAAATTGAGCAGAAAGTATCCATAGTTCCTTTATCTCCCCACCCCCACACATAGTTTCTCCTGTTATTAACATGTAACATTAGTGTGGTGTGTTTATTACAGTTATGAACTAATATTGCTCTATTATTATTAACTTAATTTTACATTAGGGATCCATCTTTGTGTTCTACAGTTCTGTGGGTTTTGCTGAATGCATAAGTCATGTATTCACCATACAGTATTATGCAGTGTAGTTTTGCTGCCCTAAAAATCCCCTGTGCTCCATCTATTCATCCTGTCGTCCCTCCCTTCTTCCCTGATCTAATCCAGTTTTTTTGTGTTTTCTTTTTAAAGAATTTTTAACATCATATCATGTAGGTATAATTTATATATAATAAAATACACCTGTTGTAAGTCTACAGGTTGATGAGTTTTGACCAACTGCCACTCTAGTCAGGATGTAGAACTTTTTTTTTTTTCCATTGAAAGGGCTTTGGCCTTTACTGTGATTGAGTCGCAAGATGGTGGAGGGTTTTGAACTCAGGTGTGGCATGATTTGAGAGAGAAAGAGGGGGAGAGAATGAGAGAGGTATTCTTCTTTCCTCCACCTATTCACTGTCCCAAATCACAAAACCTCTGCTGATTGTGTCTGTACAGGAACAGAAAGTGAACCAAGTGAAGCTGTAGTGCCCTGAGCACCTAAAGTGGGTAAAGGGCTGAGGAGACAGAGGCAGAAGGTGGGAAACTTCCTGTAACATGGAATATTCTTAGTCATTGGAAGTCTCATTTTTCAGAGACTTTTCTGGATTTTGTATTGCTCTTAGGCTTGTGTAAACAGAACCATTTCGTTCATAAGCTTGTATATTAAGAGTGTTCTGTTTCCTTGGCAAAGGCTGATCTGCTTTCTCCTGAGCAGTAGATTGTTACATTCAGTAAAAGCCTTTCCTGCTTCTCTGCAATTCATTGCAATCTTTATATATAAGGAAAGGTCCAGCCCTTTATTTCAAAGTCCTGAAATGTTAAATATTTCTAATTGGACTACAAGTGGCATTAGTGTGTTAGTGCATCCCTGGGATATTCATACCTGCATAATACAGAAAGATCTTTTTTCCCTGGAAAACCTACCTTTATTATATTGATGGTTTTTTGTTTTGTTCTGTTTAATTTTTATTTTTTAATCCTTTATTCCTTTATTAAACAAGTCCTTATTGAGCACAGATTATGTTTCAGATACTGTTTTAGACATGGAGAATACAACGGTGAACCAAATGGACAGAAGCTGCTCCCCTTATGGAGCTTCTATTCTTCGTAAGGCCATCTACAGCAGGTTTGGGCTCTGTTGGAGGAAAACGCTTGGGGCCACCCTACCTATTGGGCAACGCTGCCTCTGAAGATGCCTCATAGGCAGGCCTGCACCACCTCAGCTTCACAGGACTCCCACTTTTGTATTTACTTCACCCTTTTTTTTTTTTCCTTTTTGTCTTTTTTCGTGACCGGTAACGGGATCGCAACCCTCGGTCCCCTGCCCCTGCATTTGGTTTTTTTAAGTGTGTCTTAAGAAAAGGATGAAATATTTCTTAACAGCTACAGCAAAGCAGCTGTTTTGAAATGCCTGGTGGTGAAAGCCCCTATTAACCGTGCTCTGTACTGGAAGGACAAGGCTGAGCACTTTGGGTACTCTCCAGCTGCCCCACTGTTAACCCATGGGGAGGGCTCGTTGATGGTGATTTCTCTGTAGGCATTTTTGCCAGGAGACATTTCCTTCTGGAAAGAAGGGCAGGCAGTAGCCCCACAGTATCCTGTGTGCAGTCTTGCTGAGATGACTGATTTGTTTTTCTGCCCTAGATGCAAGTATTTCACTTTGCTTGTTCATTCCTTTCTTCCTTCCTTTATTCCTTTATTAAACAAGTCCTTATTGAGCACAGATTATGTTTCAGATACTGTTTTAGACATGGAGAATACAACGGTGAACCAAATGGACAGAAGCTGCTCCCCTTATGGAGCTTCTATTCTTCGTAAGGCCATCTACAGCAGGTTTGGGCTCTGTTGGAGGAAAACACTTGGGGCCACCCTACCTATTGGGCAACGTTGCCTCTGAAGATGCCTCATAGGCAGGCCTGCACCACCTCAGCTTCACAGGACTCCCACTTTTGTATTTACTTCACCCTTTTTTTTTTTTTCCTTTTTGTCTTTTTTCGTGACCGGTAACGGGATCGCAACCCTTGGTGTCGTGCCCGTACCGCGACTGGCAATGGGATCGCAACCCTCGGTGTCGCGCCCGCACCGCGCTCAACCAGTGAGTGGACCGGTCTCTATATGGGATCCAAACCCTCGGCGGGAGCACTGCTGCGCTCCCAAGCACCGCACTCTACCAAGTGTGCCACCGGGCCGGCCCTAACTTCACCATTTTTATTGGCCCTGATTTTAGTGGTGTAATTTGAGAAATAAGTAAAATAAAGAGTATGTTAGAAGGTTGTAGTGCTAAGGAGAAATTTAAAGTGGACAAGTGGGATAGGGAGGAGGAGCTTACAATGTTAGATGGTTTGTTAGTCCGATTTGTGTTGCTGTAACAGAATACCTGAAACTGGGTGATTTATAAGGAAAAATGACATTTATTCCTTACAGTTTCTGAGGCTGGGAAGTCCAAAGTCCATCAGGTTGGTAGTGACGATAGTGATCCAGGGATCTCACATTGCAAGATGGTGAAAGCAGAGAGAGCAGAAAGAGAGAGACAGACTTTCCTCTTTTAAAGCCCTCAGAACCACACCCCTGACCAGCATTTTTAATCCATTCACTACTGCATGGTCCTAAATCAATCACCTCTTTAAGGCTCCACCTTTCAATTACATGATAGGATGTCCCACCCTCTTAACAGTCACAGTGGGGGCTAAGTTTCTAATACATAAAACTTGGGGACACAATTCAAGCTTCAGTGAGTTTTGGGGGGACATTATTCAATCCACTACAGATAGCATGCCAGGAAAGGCCTCACTGAGGTGACACTGAAGTAAAGACCCATAGAGGGTGAGAAGCCAGCTGTGCAGATATGTAGGGGATGAGCAATCCAGGCAGAGGGAGCACACAGCTCTGAGGTGCAGGAGTGCCTGGCACATTCAAGAACAACGGGAGGCCAGTGTGGCCAGCCTGGCAGTGAGCGGATGAGGTCAGAGATGAGTGTTGTAGGGTCTTTGGCCATTGAAAGGGCTTTGGCCTTTACTGTGATTGAGTCGCAAGATGGTGGAGGGTTTTGAACTCAGGTGTGGCATGATTTGAGAGAGAAAGAGGGGGAGAGAATGAGAGAGGTATTCTTCTTTCCTCCACCTATTCACTGTCCCAAATCACAAAACCTCTGCTGATTGTGTCTGTACAGGAACAGAAAGTGAACCAAGTGAAGCTGTAGTGCCCTGAGCACCTAAAGTGGGTAAAGGGCTGAGGAGACAGAGGCAGAAGGTGGGAAACTTCCTGTAACATGGAATATTCTTAGTCATTGGAAGTCTCATTTTTCAGAGACTTTTCTGGATTTTGTATTGCTCTTAGGCTTGTGTAAACAGAACCATTTCGTTCATAAGCTTGTATATTAAGAGTGTTCTGTTTCCTTGGCAAAGGCTGATCTGCTTTCTCCTGAGCAGTAGATTGTTACATTCAGTAAAAGCCTTTCCTGCTTCTCTGCAATTCATTGCAATCTTTATATATAAGGAAAGGTCCAGCCCTTTATTTCAAAGTCCTGAAATGTTAAATATTTCTAATTGGACTACAAGTGGCATTAGTGTGTTAGTGCATCCCTGGGATATTCATACCTGCATAATACAGAAAGATCTTTTTTCCCTGGAAAACCTACCTTTATTATATTGATGGTTTTTTGTTTTGTTCTGTTTAATTTTTATTTTTTAAAATTGTAAATTGAAAAATTGTAATTGCATATATTTATGGGGTACAAAGTAATATTATGATTTATGAATACAATATGAAATAATTAAATCAAGCTAATTAACATATCCATCACCTCAAATACTTAATTTTTGTGGTAAGAATGTTTGAAATTTACTCTTAGCAACTTTGAAATGTACAGTATATTACTCTTTTATTCACCATGCTGTGCAATATATCTCAAAGAAAAAAACCCTTATTCCTCCTATCTAATTGAGGAATTGACTAATTCCTCCTGTCAGATTGTACCTTTTGACCGTCATCTCCCCATTCCCCGCACTCTCCCCACACCCAGCCTCTGGTAACCACTGTTCTGCTCTCTGCTTCTTTGTGTTTTATTGTTTTAGATTCCACATATAAGTGAGAACATGTAGTGTTTGTCTGTCTGTGCCTGGCTTATTTCACTTAGCATAATATTTTCCAATTCCATCCATGTTGTGACAGATGACAAAATGTCTTTCTTTTTTAAGGCTGAATTGTATTTCATTGTGTATATATACACCACTTTTTTTTTTTTTTTTGACCAGTGGCTGGTATGAGGGATCCACACCCATGATCTTGATGTTATAAGACTGTGCTCTAACCAATTGAGCTGCTCACCGGCTGGCCCCTATACCACATTTTCTTTATCCATTTGTCTGTTGATGGACACTTAGTTTGATTTCATAACTCGGCTTTTGTGAGTAGTGCTGCAGTGAACATGGGAGTGCAGACATCTCTTCAACACACTAAATTCAAATCTTTTGGGTAAACTCAGAAATGGGATTGCTGGATCTACTGATGGTTTTTTAACTACTGTTTTTCTTAACTACAGACACCCAGTTTTTCCTTATGATAAAGACAGTGTTTGGCTAATGAGCAAGGTGGTGAGGTCATCCAGTGAGTCAGAGGAACAGATCTGGGAAACAGAAGAGGATGATGACATGACAGAAGGTGATTTAGGGTATGGCCTCGGAAGAAGGTCTGGTGGTGTTCATGAAGTTTCACATTTATTTACATCCAGAAGAAGATCAGATGGAAAGAACTTTAGCCCTCCCCCATTTCCAAGAAAGGGGAAAGAAAGAAGTGAAGCCATTTTTCAGTATTCTGAGCATAAGAGCTTGCAAGATACATACCTTCACGGGTCCAGAATTGCCAGTTACAGACGACAAAGTAGTACGGGTAAGAATGCCGAATTTCCTTTCCTTCCTCCTTTCCCCTGTGAATATTATCAGTGCTTTAACCCTTCCAACACATAGTGGTAACCATAGGGGATTTTAGAAATTCATCTTTGTTCACCTTTTGTGACTGGTGATACACAAAAGTAATCGATGTTTATATTTCCAAGTATTGTGAAAATTGTGAAATACAGTAGTTAATCTGCATTAATAATATATGTTTGTCAGTGATATCAGTAAGTGATTAATCACCTTGCTTTTTTGTGATTTAGTTTTACTTATTTATTTATTCTTTTAGTCAGCAGATGCTTATTGGGTACCATTAGGTGTCAGGCACAGGTCTAGGTTCTTGGAATAATGTCAGTGAACAAAACAGTCAAATGCCCTAATGTCATGGATTTCACATTCTAGTAGAGGAGATAGAAAATAAACCTGCAAATCAACATATATTTAACAGCAGGCAGTGGTAAGTGAAGGCATAGTGAGTGATTGTCGGGGATGGGGCACTACTTTCTCAGGCCAGGGTTAGGGAAGACCTCTCTAAGGAGGTGATATTTGAGCACCTGAATGAAGTGGAGAGCATGCCTCATGGTTATCTGGCAAAGGAGTGTTCCAGGCAGAACTCAGATGCTTCCGATTCTTTTAGGATGTCATGAAATTCTCAAATATTGTCAAAGCAAAATTAATCTTAATATATTATAACCAAAAAGAATTTATGCCTTACATTAGGGAAAGAATAAAATTGAGAGTCATATTTCTACAGAATGTTACAACTCCAAAATGATTGTGAATCCATGGTTGAGTCTATGCCTGTACTGTGGCACCAGCTCTTTATTTGGCTGAATCTTTTGTAATACATGTTGTAAAATTTTCACTCCTGAAACTTCCCCCACCAAAGATGAGCAAACACTAATTAGAACAACACAAGAATAATTTAAGAAACGTGGTTTCAAAATTTACAAAATGCATGTTGCAGCTTGCGGTTCATCCCCATCCTTCAGATTCGTCTTGAAATTAGCATGGGATTATTTATAGATTTTTCTCTTCCAATTCCTTATTATACATAGAGGATGGATACTGTTTTGTAAGCAAGAAATTTAAAACTGAACATGATGCTAAGATGCCTTTAAACATGAGGAAACTGCTGGGATATAAACAAGATGTAATAGTAACAGTATGAGCTCCAGTTTTGTTGGTTTATGGACTTTTTATCTTTTTATCAATGTTTCCCCAATCCTAGGAAAGGGTATTGTATTAGTTTCTTGTTGCTAATAGATAATTTCCAAAATACCACAAACTTAGTGGCTTAAAACAACACAAATTTGTTATCTTACAGTTCTGGAGGTCAAAAGTCTAAAACAAATTTCACTGGGATAAAATCAAGTTGTTGGCAGGAGAGCCCCCTGTGTTCCTTCTGGAGGCTCTCGGGGAGAATCTGTTCCCTTGCCTTTCCAGCTTCCAGAGGCTGTCTGCATTCTTCTTCGGCTTGTGGCCCCCTTCCTCTATCTTCAAAGCCAACAATGGCTAGTTGAGCCTTTCCTACATCATATCCCTCTCACACTGACTCTCTTGCCTCTCTTTCATTTATATGTACTCTTATGGGTACATTGGACCCACCTGGATAATCCAGGATAATCTCCCATCTCAAAATTCTGAATATGTTGATAACTTCAAGGTCAAGGGTTCAGATCCCTATACTGACCAGATGAAAAAAGAAAATTCTTTGGTACATTGGACCCACCTGGATAATCCAGGATAATCTCCCATCTCAAAATTCTGAATATGTGGATAACTTCAAGGTCAAGGGTTCAGATCCCTATACTGACCAGATGAAAAAAGAAAATTCTTTTTTTTTTTTTTTTAAAGATGACCGGTAAGGGGATCTTAACCCTTGACTTGGTGTTATCAGCACCACGCTCTACCAAGTGAGCTAACCTGCCATCCCTATATAGGGATCCGAACCTGTGGCCTTGGTGTTATCAGCACCACACTCTCCCAAGTGAGCCACGGGCCGACCCTGAAAAATGAAAATTCTTAATCACCTCTGCAAAGTCCCTTTTGCAGTGAATTCAAAGATCCTGGGGATTAGGATGTGGACATCTTTGGCTGCCATTATTATGCCTACCACAAATATTAATAGAACAGAAGTTGTCATTGCCAATCCAATGTCACTTCTGTCCCTGTTTGGAACCCTGAATCATCACAGTAAAAACATGATTTAAGTTTTGCCTTGGATACCGTCATGCTGATGGATTCAGAATAACAAAGGAAAAAATAGTTTTGAAAAATTTTTAATGGCCTTCAAAATATTTTTTCTAATGTTATTTTTCTTTCTTTTACTTCTTACAGTTGCTTGCAGTTTACCACCTTAATATTTTTTTTATTGTGAGTGAGACAGAAATGAAGATAAAGCTCCTAGGAGGCTCAGTTTAATTTCTCAATTGATTACATTCAGGAGAGAATAATAGAAGTTACAGGAGCCTTCTAGTCATTCTCCTTGGAAAGAAATTAAATTCAGGTTATTTGTTCAATATTCATAATACTACATTGATCAAGTGTGTTAGTCCGTTTTTGTGTTGCTGTAACAGAATACCTGAGACTGAGTGATTTATAAAGGAAAATGACATTTATTGCTTACAGTTGCTGAGGCTGGGAAGTCTGAAGTCCATTTGGTGGTGGTGACAGTGACTCAGGGGTCTCACATTGCAAGATGGTGGAAGCAGAGAGAGCAGAGAGAGAGAGCAAGACAGACTCTCCTCTTCTTTTAAAGCTCTCAGAACTATACCCTTGACAATCATTTTTAATCCATTCACTACTGCACGGCCCGACAATCCAATCACCCCTTCAAGGCTCCACCTCTCAATTACCATAATAGGATTTCCCATCCTCTTGTCACAGTGGGGCTAAGTTTCTAATACATGTTTCAGTGAGTTTTGAGGGGACGTAATTCAATCCACTACATCAAGCTTAAGTCAAACACCAAAATCTTTTCATTTTACTCACTCACATTCATGTTTTTCTATTTTGTGTTACCAATTCATTAACATCAATTTTATTTGAGAGTCCTTTTTTTTGTCTTTTTATTCAAAGTATGTGTCTTCATTTGTGAAATGTTGTAAGCTATATATTTTTTATCATTATTTGTTTTATTACAGTTCTTTTTGGAATTAGGGAAAAACCTGTATGTGATATTTTATAAACAAATCCCTTATACTTAACTAGTTAAAGAAAATATTCAAGTTTTTTTTTTTTCTGATAGATTCTAATTCAGAATTGTCAAATGAAGAATTAAGGCAACGTCTTCATGAAACTTTAGAGGTAGGTTCTCTGGCTAATATAAAAATTCTCGTGTGAATAAAGTCCACCAATAGGTATTGTGTTTAAGTAATACCAAAATTGTATGGAAGGCACATATTCTTGATTAACTACAGTCTAAAGCTGATACTTTTCAGTTGACCTCCTGTTTCCTATCCTCCTCATCTTTTAATGAGGCTACTTATGGAAACATGCCCACCAGTTCTTCTTCCAGAAGTAGACCCTACTTCTCTAATATCCTCCTTGAGAAAATAGTTATTACTTCCTTCCCTATATGTGTGGCTTGAAACAACCTGACTTTACTTAATCTCCTTGAAACCAGAAGACCAGAGAGTCTCTCAAGTAGTCTGAGGAGTCTGTCCCACTTGGTGGAAATAGTTTCTGTGAGGGATGGCTATCCTTTGGGAAACAAGAAGCCCACCTTAGAGTGTGTTTGTGACTCTTGTGAAAGCTACTGAGTTGGTTTCCTAGGACTGCTGTGACAAAGTACCTGGTGGCTTAAAATTACAGAAATCGATTCTCTCTCAGTTCTTGCTCCCTCTGAAGTCTCCAGAGGAAAATTCTTCTTTGCTTCTTCTGGTGGTTGCTGCAGTTCTTGGCTTTCCTTGGCTGGTAGCTGCACAAATCCAGTCTCTGCCTCTGTCACCACATGGGCTTCTCCCTGTGTGTCTGTATCTAAATTTCCTTCATTTTATAAGGACACCAGCCATTGGATTGGAGCTCACCCTAATCCAGTATGGTGTCATCTTAACTTGCTTAATTCTGTTAAATTAAGCTAAATTTGTCCAGAGGCTGCCTCCTTACCTGGAGTCCCTATATAAGGAACTGTGACCTAACAGTTTGTAAACAAACAGAAAGCCTAATTCAGGAGTCTATTTTTTGTAACAACTAGCTGAGTCTCAGCCAATCACAGCAGCTGAGCTTTAGCCAATCACAGGCTGCCAACTGATCAGACCATGTCCAAATTAGGCAAAAGCTGAGCTGATTGGTTGATCAAGCTGTTTCTATACCTCACTGCCATTTTGTCAGTAAATGCTGCCTGGCTCACTTTGCTGAGCAGAGTTTTCTGAACCTCTTCTGTTTCTGAAGGCAGCCTGATTCATAAATTGTTCTTTGTTCAATTAAACTGCTAAATTTAATTTGCCTAAAGTTTTTTATTTTTTTAACACATCTGCAAAAACCCATTTTCTTTTTTTTTTTTTTTAAGAGATGACCGGTAAGGGGATCTTAACCCTTAACTTGGTGTTGTCAGCACCACGCTCTCCCAAGGAGCTAACTGGCCATCCGTATATAGGTATCCGAACCTGTGGCCTTGCTGTTATCAGCACCACACTCTCCCAATTGAGCCACGGACCGACCCCAAAACTCCATTTTCAAGTAAGGTCATTTTCACAGTAGCAGGGGGTTAGGACTTGAACATATTTTTGGTGGGAGGACACAATTCAACCCACAATAGCTACTGTAGCTATGTAAATGGCCATGTGCTTATATTTTATGTGACATAAAGATTTTTTTTTTTCCCATATTATTAGCTGTGTGGCCTACCTGGGTAAAAGCAAAAGATTTGGGCTTTTTAGTTACGCACAATAGCTACTGTAGCTATGTAAATGGCCATGTGCTTATATTTTATGTGACATAAAGATTTTTTTTTCCCCATATTATTAGCTGTGTGGCCTACCTGGGTAAAAGCAAAAGATTTGGGCTTTTTAGTTACAACTGGCACCAGCTAGTAAGGCTCTACCTCATTTGTAGGTGCTTTGAGCTAAGAGTAAATGTAGACTAGCTAAATTGGTAATTTTGGGGTTTCGTATCTTACTGACAGGAAGACTAATTTTATTTCTGTCCTCAGGAGGTAGAAATTTTAAAAACTGATCTTGAGGCATCTCAAAGACAACTTGAAGGTAAAGAGGAAGCATTGAAAATTCTTCAAAGCATGGTAAGAAGTGATTTTTAAACTTTCATCATTTATACATTCCAATAAGTGGTATGATTTTAGCTTTTAATACAAGAGCAGTAGTGCTTAATATAGATATTTTAGGTATAGTTTTTTTAACAGCTTTATAATTTATATATGACAAATTTCACTTATTTAAAGTGTGCAGCACAATTTATTTTTATTAAACTTAAAGTTGTGCAGTTATCACTGCAATCTGATTTTAGAACATTCCCAACATCCCAAAAAAGGAACTTCGTGCCCATCAGCATTCGTCATTCCCACCTCAGCCCCAGACAACCACTAATCTGCTTCCTGTCGTATAGATTTGCATTTTCTGCCTTTTCTATTTCATAAAAATAGAATCGTACAATATGTGACTGGATTCTTTTGCATGTGGATTCGTTTGGTTAGCATGTTTTTGAGGTTCAAGCATGATGTGGCATATATTGGTACTTTTTTCCTTTTTATTGCCAAATAATACTCCATTGTATGGATATATCACATTTTGTTTATTCATTCACCAGTTGATGGACATTGGGGTTGTTTTCACTTTCAGACTATGGTGAATAATACTGCCATGAACATTTTCTTTGTGAGGAAAATTCATTCATTCTTTCCCACATTCAATGGAAAAGAGCCACACCACGATCTGATTTTTGAACTATCAAACTCTCCACAAAAGGTGGTCACTGTGAAATTCTCAACTCAAGTTAATTTTCTGTTGTCTTAAGATAAAAATGTGAACTTCACTGTGCATACAGGAATGACTAGAAATTTCATTCGTACTGATGCCTTTTTTATTTTTCTTAGGCAATACTTGGCAAAGCTACAAGTCATACCCAGGCAGTGCTTCAAAAAACTGTGCAACAAAAGAAATCCTTGGAGAAGGTATTTGCCACTTTTGGTGTACACTCGTTCAATAAGCTTTAAATAGAATTTACTGTTTCATCCCACTAATGGATATGTCATTTGTGTGTACCCTCTGCTAGGTGTGCTTCAATTTCTCATGGTATTCCCTTTTGTAGCTGACAGTCTAAAACAGATTGTCACATGGGCAAAGAGTTCAGGGTACTTACGTTTCCCCTTTTTAAGGTAGGAGGAGGCCTGCCAAATTGATATTTCCTGGTTTTCTTTTTGTTTTTCTATTCCCTGCTTGCCTGGCACGGCCTGCTTCTTTCTGATCATGCCATCATTACTCTGAAGTTAGGAATCATCCTAGATGGTCACATTTCTATGCCTGTTGTGCCCTCACTTGTTGGGACCATTTGGACTAAGACTTCCAGGAGTGAATTTTGCTTGTGGTGTCTTCCTGGGTTAGGGAGGGGTACACTGAGAAATCTGGGTTCAGTCAAGCAAATTTTGAAGCTAAACAATTCAAAGTTCTTCCTATATTAAGTGAGCCTTGGCAAAGTTTATTTGAGTGCTAAAGAGGTGTGCTATATGTGTTTACAAATGTGAAAAATACTCTTTTCGAGCGATAATTAATTTTTTCTCTTTAAACTATTTCTGTGAAATGATTAGATGATTTATTTCAGGAATTCACAATGTCCTGAATGATTTATTTGTAGTAATTTTCAATGAAAGTGGTATTTTCTTTCTATAGGAAATAAATGCCTTGCAGTGGGAAATAGAATTTGATCAGAATAGATTTAAAAATATGGAGGAATCCTGGACCCAAAAATATGACAGGTTTGTGTGTTATTATTACATAATTTTTCTATGAAAATCCTTAAAATGTGTGTAATTCAAATGTAGCTTAGGCTTTCTTCTTCTTTGAGCTAACTGTAAATATTATAAAATTCTTATTGCTTATCCAGTTACCAATTCCATATTTTCCTGTTAGTGCTCATTTCTTTTTTAAAAAAATACAATGTAAACTATTTTTAAACCCAGTAAAGAGCTATGTTTTCCAAATTATTTTAACATTGGAACTGTTTGTTTTTTCAAACAAAATCTTTTCAGCAACTCTTTTATTAGTGTGTTTATTTAATAACTTTAAATTATACACTTATTATAAGTCAATTATTTAGAAAATGATCTATCTGGAGTTATAAATGGCTTTATCTAGTTAAATTTATTGTTTCTTAACTTTTTATTTATTTGTTTGTTTGTTTTGTTTTTATTTTTTGGCGGCTGGCTGGTATAAGGATCTGAACCCTTGACCTTGGTGTTGTAACACCATGCTCTAACCAACTTACCTAACTGGCCAGCCTTAACTTTTTATTTTCAAATAATCAAAGACTTACAGAAAAGTTGCAAGAATAGTACAAAGAATTTCTATATATCTTTCACTGAGATTCCTCAAATTTAACTCTTTACCACATTTGCTTTATCATTATTTCTCCCTTTCTTTCTCTCTCTCCTTATAGATAGATAGGTACAGACACATATAATTCTTATATTTATTTATTTATTTTTTAAAAGATGACCGGTAAGGGGATCTTAACCCTTGGCTTGGTGTTGTCAGCACCACGCTCAGCCAGTGAATGAACCAGCCATCCCTATATAGGATCTGAAACCATGGCCTTGGTGTTATCAGCACCGCACTCTCCCGAGTGAGCCACGGGCCGGCCCTATAATTCTTATATTTATCTAGAACCATTTAAAAGTAAGTTGCATATAAAAGTAAGTTGAGGCCCCCTTACTCTAAATACTTCAGTTTGTATTTTTAAAAAAGCCTGCTCTCAGCTGGCCCGGTGGCACACTCGGTAGAGTGCGGCGCTTGGGAGTGTGGTGGTGCTCCCGCCGAGGGGTTGGATCCCATTTAGAGACCGGTCCGCTCACTGGTTGAGCGCGATGCGGGCGCAACACCGAGGGTTGCGATCCCGTTGCTGGGCGCGACACCGAGGGTTGCGATCCCATTACCAGTCACGAAAAAAGACAAAAAGGAAAAAAAAAAAAAAGCATGCTCTCTCTTTTTTTGGTGGCTGGTCGATATGGGGATCTGAACCTTTGACCTCAGTGTTATGACACCATGCTCTAACCAGCTGAGCTAACAGACCAGTCCTTGGTCATTCTCTTTCTTAACCATAGTATTATGATAAAAATCAAGACATTAGGGCTGGCCAGTTAGCTCAGTTGGTTAGAGCATGGTGCTGATAACACCAAGGTCCAGGGTTCAATCCCTTTACTGGCCAGCTGCCCCCCAAAAACCCAAAAAACGTTGTGCAACCATCATCACTATCCATCCACAGAACTCTTTCCATCTTACAAAACTGGAGTTCTGGGCTGGCCAGTAAGCTCAGTTGGTTAGAGCGCAGGCTTATAACACTAAAGTCATGATTTAGTGTTTTGGCAGCTGGCTGGGGATCTGTACCAGCCAGCTGCCAAAAAAAAAAAAAAAGAACTCTATACCACTAAACAATAACTCCCCATTTCCCCCTCCCCCAGCTTCTGCCAACCACCATTCTATTTTCTGTCTCTATGAATTGGACTACTCTGGGTACCTCATATTAGTGGAATCATACAATTTTTCTTTTCTGTAACTGGCTTATGGCACTTAGCAACTGTCTTCAAGGTTCACCCATGTTGTAGCATATTTTAGAGTTTCTTTCCTTTGTAAGGCTGAATAATATTCCATTGTATGTATATGACACATTTTGCTTATTCATTCTTCCCTTGATGGACACGTGGATTGCTTACACATTTTGGCTCTTTCGAATGCTGCTTCTATGAACATGGGTGTATCTTATGTATCTTTCTTTACATTAAAGACTTTTTTTTTTTCAGAGTAGAGTAGTTATAGGTTCACAGAAAAATTGAGTAGAAGTACAGAGATTTCCCATATACTCCCTGCCTGGGTACCACTATCAACATCTAGTAGTGGTACTTTTGTTACAGTTGATGAACCCACATTGACACATCATTACTACTCAGTCCATAGTTTACTTGGGGGCCTATGTATCTTTTTATGCAAGTTTTTGCAGGTGACCTACACATGTAGTTGGTGTTCAAATGGTATATTAAGTTGAATTAAAACTTTAATAAAGAGAATGAGCGTGCAGAGTGGATGCCTTAGAAATATTTCTGGTTCTGATTATTTCTCAACTAAGTATACAGAAGGGTTAAGAGCGTGTTTATAATCTTACCATACTCCTTTAAATTGTTTTTATTTTTATGATACATGTATTTTAGAAAATTTTAGAATATTTTGAAGTAGGAAAAAATATATTTAGGTGTTTGCTTTCTAATTATGGAAATAAAAATATTCTCACTCAGTGAGGAGGTTTTAATGTTTTAGTTATTTGAAGGGTACTTTTTTCCAGACTAAACTGTGAAAATTCAGTCCTCAAAGAGACCTTGAAGCTTAAAACAGAAGAAATTAAAATGTTAAAGTCTGAAAATGCAGGTAAGTGAAGAATGGTCTTTTGATGATTCTTTAAGAATATTATATTAAAAGATCAGTTTTATATAGAGTGTTCTGTATTAAGAACACACATATCAATAGAAACAAAGTGCTAGTATTTTGAAATAAAATATTTTAAAGATAATAGAAGGAAGAAATGCATCATTTAGGTTTTTTTAGTTAAAAAAGTTATCAAGGTGAAATTCACAGAACATAAAATTAACCACTCAGAAGTGAAGAATTCAGGGCCGGCCCGGTGGTGCACTCGGTAGAGTGCGGCGCTTGGGAGTGTGGCGGCACTCCCGCCGAGGGTTCGGATCCCATATAGAGACCGGTCCGCTCACTGGTTGAGCGCGGTGCGGATTTTCCTAGAGCAAACAAGGAACAGACTTCAGTTGCAAAGTTAAGATGATTCCACATTAAAAATAACATCTGGGCTGGCCAGTTAGTTCACTTGGGAGAGCCTGGTGCTGGTAACACCGAAGTCATGGGTTTGGATCCCTGCACTGGTCATCTGCCAAAAAAATATAAAATAAAAGTAACATCTTATCTAGTATCACATATTTATTATCTCATATGATACCCACCAATCTATCAGATAGGTTTTCTGGATGGAGCCAGATCTTGTGGGAAATGTCTGTTGTGTATGCATTGCTTATAAGAAATGAGTATATGATGTTGGTGTAACTAGATTAAATGAAGGTGTAATTAGGCTATATAACTAACACTTCCCTGTATGGCCCCTCCTAGTTTTGAATCAACAGTATTTGGAGACACTCGCGATGCTCGATATCAAACAGCAGAAGGCGGCTCAAGAAAACATGCTCCATGATAAAAGTGGCTTTACAGAAATTTCAGGTCTCGAGGTAGGTAGGCATATATGAAAGTTGAACAGGAAGGGCATTTTCTACTTTGCTTTTCTTTCCCCTATCACCTGTTGGTTCATGGTCTAGGATAATGCCATACTCAGTAATGGGGAGACTGAGAGGGAGAAAGGCCCATGGGTTGCCTGGTCATTTCTTCCATCCTTGCTGGTACCAGGCCCTTTATGTATGACATTCTTGGACATTAGGGAATGTGCTGGCTACGTCTTGCCCGGTATGTTTCTTGTTGTTACAGTTCTAGCCGAAGCTATGTTAGCAGTGTCTTGCAGCTAGGTAGGGGCTCACAGTTTCAGGGGACCTTCACACACATTATTTTATCTGATCTTCACAGTAGACTTGTGAGGCCTGCAAAGCATTACCATTTTAGAGAGGAGGAAACTAAGGCTCGTATAAAATTCAGTTACTTTCCCAGGATGACAAGGTCAGTCTGTGGTTGAGCCAGGTTCAGAACAAAGATCTGATGCATCGCTAATCACATGCTGATGTGTTAAATGTCTTAACAATGTGGGAGTTTGGCTAATAAGGTCAAAAGGGTCCTATGATTCATAAGAAATTAGAAGCATAACACAGGGGGCAGCCACTCACTCATTGTAGAACTTCAATAAAAGCAATTGTGATAATACCAGCAAATACTTCTACAGTTCTTAGCAAGTGCTGGATGTTGTTCTAAGTGCTTTACATAGATTGGCACATGTAATCCTTACAATGACCCCATAAAGTGGGTACTGTTATAATCCCTACTTTTTTCCTTATTTTTTCCTTTTCATTTAGTTTTCAGTGTAAAGCAAAATTTTATACATATTAAATTTATACTTAAGTTCCTCAGACATCAAGTATTCATATATAACTTTCATCAACTATGATGAATGTTAATGAAAGGATAGTAAGGTGTTTGGCACTAACTTTTTAAGCATTTTTAAGAGAATGTGCTAATTCTCCCTTCTTGGCAGAAACTATTTTAAAGTGGTGGCTTGAAGAGGACAAAACAAGCTTAAATCTGGTCCTGGGGCCTGGAGCAGCACTGTATAGTATGTCATGTAGTAACTGAGCTGTGTAAATACCTCTGGATGAGATCCGCACATGCAGATAGGACTTTAGCCATTGGAGATGTCCCCTGTGTTAGGTTAATTCAGGACAGAAGCTGTTCATAATCACAGTCCCTTTCCCTCCTCCTTACCACTCCACCCTGCAGAGAGAGGGGAAAAGTTATTGTTTTCTACTTTCCAGTAGAGGACCCCTCTTGTTTTAAATGTTTGGTTTGAGAGCTTCTTGTGAAAACTCTTTAATAGGAAAATCTGATAGAGTTTGGATAGCTGGTACATTTGACAATAAAACAGGTTGAATATTCCTTATCCAAAATGCTTGGGACCATAATTGTTTCACATTTCAGATATTCGAAATAGGGATGCTCAACCTGTACGGTATATGAGATCTCACAATTCTGTCATCTCATTATCCACAAAGTCTCTAAATAATTTGTGTTTACGTGTTCCCTTTTTGAAAATCTGACAAATTTTCCTAGAGCAAACAAGGAACAGACTTCAGTTGCAAAGTTAAGATGATTCCACATTAAAAATAACATCTGGGCTGGCCAGTTAGTTCACTTGGGAGAGCCTGGTGCTGGTAACACCGAAGTCATGGGTTTGGATCCCTGCACTGGTCATCTGCCAAAAAAATATAAAATAAAATAAAAGTAACATCTTATCTAGTATCACATATTTATTATCTCATATGATACCCACCAATCTATCAGATAGGTTTTCTGGATGGAGCCAGATCTTGTGGGAAATGTCTGTTGTGTATGCATTGCTTATAAGAAATGAGTATATGATGTTGGTGTAACTAGATTAAATGAAGGTGTAATTAGGCTATATAACTAACACTTCCCTGTATGGCCCCTCCTAGTTTTGAATCAACAGTATTTGGAGACACTCGCGATGCTCGATATCAAACAGCAGAAGGCGGCTCAAGAAAACATGCTCCATGATAAAAGTGGCTTTACAGAAATTTCAGGTCTCGAGGTAGGTAGGCATATATGAAAGTTGAACAGGAAGGGCATTTTCTACTTTGCTTTTCTTTCCCCTATCACCTGTTGGTTCATGGTCTAGGATAATGCCATACTCAGTAATGGGGAGACTGAGAGGGAGAAAGGCCCATGGGTTGCCTGGTCATTTCTTCCATCCTTGCTGGTACCAGGCCCTTTATGTATGACATTCTTGGACATTAGGGAATGTGCTGGCTACGTCTTGCCCGGTATGTTTCTTGTTGTTACAGTTCTAGCCGAAGCTATGTTAGCAGTGTCTTGCAGCTAGGTAGGGGCTCACAGTTTCAGGGGACCTTCACACACATTATTTTATCTGATCTTCACAGTAGACTTGTGAGGCCTGCAAAGCATTACCATTTTAGAGAGGAGGAAACTAAGGCTCGTATAAAATTCAGTTACTTTCCCAGGATGACAAGGTCAGTCTGTGGTTGAGCCAGGTTCAGAACAAAGATCTGATGCATCGCTAATCACATGCTGATGTGTTAAATGTCTTAACAATGTGGGAGTTTGGCTAATAAGGTCAAAAGGGTCCTATGATTCATAAGAAATTAGAAGCATAACACAGGGGGCAGCCACTCACTCATTGTAGAACTTCAATAAAAGCAATTGTGATAATACCAGCAAATACTTCTACAGTTCTTAGCAAGTGCTGGATGTTGTTCTAAGTGCTTTACATAGATTGGCACATGTAATCCTTACAATGACCCCATAAAGTGGGTACTGTTATAATCCCTACTTTACAAATGAAGTAACAGAGGCACAGAGGGGTTAAGTAATTTGCCCAAAGTCACACAGCTATAGTGGTAGAGCTGGAATTTGCACCCAGGTGTACTGGGTTTAGAGTCTGCTTTTGGTTTCTATGCTGTACTGTCATGGGTAGAAAACTAGTGTAACAGCAAAAAGGAAAAATAAAAGAAACTGAACTGAGAGAAAGTTCAGGGAAAGAGTGTATTATTATTATAGTTTTGAGTAGGTTATGGGGCAGCGTTACCTCAGGCCAGGCAGGAACAAGGGCCCTGACCCAGCTGATGAAGGAATGCTAAGGCAAGGAAGGAGAATTAGGATTCAGAGGTCCTTGCCCAAAGCTTGCGTTTTTATGTTGGCCTCCCCAGGTCCTAGTTGCTTTTGGCAACTTTGTTTTTTTTTCCTTTTTGTCTTTTTTACTGACCGGTAACAGGATCGCAACCCTCAGTGTCGCACCTGTACCGGGGACCGGCAACGGGATCGCAACCTTTGGTGTTGGGCCTGCACCGCGCTCAGCCAGTGAGCGGGAACCAGTCTCCACATGGGATCCAAACCCTCGGCGGGAGCGCCGCCGCTTGCTCTCCAGTGTGCCACCGGGCCGGCCCGCTTTTGGCAACTTTGGCAGGGACAATTATCAGGAGCAGGAAAATGAAAAGGAAAAATACCTATCTGCCATATATCAACCATTTATGTACGCAGTTCAACTGAAAGCTGACTCTGTGCTTCACTATTATCTTTGATGTGAGAAAGAATTTTCTGAAATGGCGTTTGCACTAAGGGAGGCAGTGGAATCTTCTTTCCTAAGTCTCTAGGGTAGGATTATGTTTTAAACCAACCCATCTGTGTGAAATTTACAGCAACAGGAAGAAGCATAGACAATAATTTTATACTAAATTCCACGTGAAACTTTAAAAAGATATGACACAATATTTGAATAGACTGCCCTCATTAAATTGGTAGTTATTAGAGTATGTTGGGAAAGAAACTTGTGGTTAGCTTCCAAAGTGGGTTAAAGAAAAGTAAAATTCTTGGGCCGGCCCGGTGGCGCACTGCTTGGGAAGCGTGGCGGCGCTCCCGCCGAGGGTTCAGATCCCACATACAGACCGGCCGCTCACTGGCTGAGCGAGGAGCGGGGGCAGCGCCGGGGGTTGCGATCCCGTTGCCGGTCCCGGTCCGGTACGGGCGCGACACTGAGGGTTGCGATCCGTTGCCAGTCACGAAAAAAGACAAAAAAAAAAAAAAAAGAAAGAAAAGTAAAATTCTTACTTCCAGCTATAGAGGTCAACCAGGAGGGACCTATATGGAATATTTTATTCATTTTTTTTTAGGAGGGGAGGGATGATTGTTTTCCTTGTTGACATTAAAATTCACAAATCATTTCTGAGCATGCACCTCTCTGGGGAGGGAGTGGCAGTGGTGAATTCTGGGCCTCTGGGCCACGCCTGGCCGCAGGAAATCCATGCTGTGGGTGTTAATGTTAACGACTTTGTAAAGGCTCTGTTCCTGCTGAGGCAGGACTATAGGAATCTGATGCCAGGGTTACAGGTTATAAGAATGAAAAGAAGGAAGTTAGAATTCTTTTAGTTTTTGTTCCAAGTAATGACATTCTTAACTCATTTGTAGTTAATTTCCACTTAGCTCCTGAAATCCTGTTCTAAGCTTTCTTCTATTTATTTTTCCTTTACAGCTTTTTTTGGATCAGATGTTTGAATAGTAGTGTACGTGAGTGTGTGTGGGTGCCCCTGTATTTGTGTGCAGCTAAAACACTGTGACACTTAGTAATGGGTGTAATGCTTTTGAATTTAAAGCTTGCAGTCCTTGGAGCCTGCCTTTGTCACAGTCCTGGAGGCAGACCCTGTTCTTGTGCCAGAATGGCAGCGTCCACTCGGAAACTGCTTCTTCAGCTCAAACAAGAGGTATTGCATTATCACAACAGCAAAAGCTTTGGTTTTGTTGCTCTATTAATAGTAGAATAAATGGAGGTATCTGCAATAGTTAACTTCACTTTAGTAGTCATTGGCTATGGAACTTATGCTCAGTTTTATATGATATACTAACTTATAAACTAGACTTGGTTTATACTTGGTTCCAAAATACAAATAGTACTTGGCATAATATTTGAAGCCATGTAAAGTCATTTGCCTAAGTTTGTAGTTAATATTTCCTAAATGCATATTTTTGTCATCTCTACATGGTCCCAAAATTAGTATATAATAGAGAACAAAGGTGCATTTATGCTTAAAATCACTAAGATCAGCAACACTGATCAATGGGGAGACCTACGTAGGTTTTATTTGAAAAGCAACAAGGTACAGTGGAAGGAACCAGCCAGACCTACGCTGGTATCTTTGCCCCGTCATTTACGAGCTGTGTGACTTTGGACAGATAAGTCTCAGTTTTCTCATATGTTAAATGGAGGGTAATTACCTTGGAGGTTGTTGTGAGAATAGAAGAAATAGACATATAATGTTTAGCATAGTGCCATGAACATGTCAGGCATTTAATAAAATGATAGCTGCCATTATAATGGGGCTTTAATTACAAAAATAGTACATGGACCATAATTCTAAAAATATTTTACCTTTATTGAAGAATTGGAACTTAAAGTCTTTGGAGTAAATGGGAAAGCGAAAAGCTGAACATTAGCAATTAATTAGGAAGAGCATGAGATTACATGGATCGGAGTCAAGATCACCTATAGAAGATATTTGAAAGGTAGTATTTATAATGATTTTCAGTGGTTTTGTCTAGAATGGCCCAAAGCAAAGTTGAAATGCAGCCTTTGGCATCCTCCCTTCCTTCTTGCTGGGCCCTTCATTGTGGGCTGGACACACAGAAAGCCTGTCTACGGTAGTATGGTCCGAGAGTTGGGTTAGCAGGGAATTGACAGTCACCATAATGGAAACTGCTGGTAATCCAGATCAGAGTGGGCCACTACTGCAGAAGGGAATAGCAAATACTACTTAGTTTAAGCAGATAAACTAGATCAAACACAGGCAATAGACCAGTGCTAGGCAGGGAGACAGCATATGCTAATTTGATTCAGCATTCAGGCAAGAATTGTTCTGGTTTTGCCTCTGACACCTCCCAAACTTTCTTTCAAAACCAGTTGGAACTTTTGCAGAAGAGTAAAGAAGAAGCGTACATAATGGCAGATGCATTCAGAATTGCATTTGAGCAACAATTAATGAGGAAAAATGACCAGGCACTAAGATTGACACAAATGGATAAAATGTGTTCAAAAGCAGCAAAACGGATAAATTGGAAGCACCTTAAAGAGGATGGTAACTATAAATTATAATGGCAATAATCAGGTGTAGTTTTAGTTGTTTTGGTTGTAATCAAAGTTGATGAAGCACATTTAATACAATGTGGGAAAACAGGATTGAAATTTCACATATAGCTGTGATTTATTTAAAAATTTAGCAACTATGGAAAAAAGGTAGTTATTGGGTATTACATATACAAATAAACTACTGGAATCAACAAAACCATAAAATAACAGGAGAATCTCTTTTCTAGTATTTTCTTTTTCTTAGAATTTCTTTTTCTAGTATTTTCTTTTTTAAAGATGACTGGTAAGGGGATCTCAACCCTTGGCTTGGTGTTGTCAGCACCACGCTCAGCCAGTGAGCCAACTGGCCACCCCTATATAGGATCCGAACCCGTGGCCTTGGTGTTATCAGCACTGCACTCTCCTGAGTGAGCCACGGACCAGCCCTTCATTTTTTTTTTTTTTGGTGGCTGGCCAGTGGGGATCCAAACACCGCACTTTAACTGAGCTAACAGGCCAGCCCTCTTCTATTTCATTTAAACAAGACCATGTTTGGTGAAAAATTTATAATGAAAGTATTAGATGATTAAAGGGAAACTGCCAAGAAGGAAGTAATATTGAAATTGATATTTAAACTCAACATTAAATCTATGTATTTAACTAAACTTTATTGAAATATGTGCTTCTGAAAAAGACATGTAAGGGTAGAGGAAAAATCTGAAGTTGGACAAATCAGTAAAATATTCTTATAGAAAATGAAACAGAAGTTTAGTTTTAGGTTTTAGTTCATGAGCCTATCAAAAGTTCATGGCCATGTTTGAGTATTATTATTTTAGTATATGCAAAATATATAAAGATGCCATGAGAGAATGAAATGAATATTGAAGTAGATCTTCCAAAATAAACAAAGTAGCTGTTTAGAAATTTTAGTTTCTCTAAATAGTCATATCGTATCAGAATTCATATTGCATCAGTTAAAAATGGCAATTAAGGGCCGGCCCTGTGGCGCACTCGGGAGAGTGCGGCGCTGGGAGCGCAGCGATGCTCCCACCGCAGGTTTGGATCCTACATAGGACTGGCCGGTGTGCTCACTGGCTGAGCACGGTGCGGGCGACACCACACCAAGGGTTGCGATCCCCTTACCGGTCACGAAAAAGACAAAAAAAAACCAAAATGGCAATTAAGTTATAATTTGAAACCATTTTTCAGTCAAGAATGATTAAAATGAAGTTTATAAGAAGTTTAAATGTTTAAGTATGAAAATTCTGCGATGACTATATTTCTAAATATTTTCTAATATGTCAAATCCATATGCTAATTCCAGTATCTCTTATATTCAGATGAACCTCAGGACTTATAATATTAAAAATGAAACATTTAATAATAGGTATCTTGTTTGAAATATTTCTTTTCAAATAGTATGTATTAATAATAGTATATGAGTCAAATGTTGTGAATTTTAGCTTCATTAACTAAACTTTATCCCCTCTCTTTGCTGAAAAGGTAAGAAGGGGCTTGCAGGGATGATAAAAATAGAAGTAGTGTCAGATCTGTGAAAGTAGATAAAAGCAGGTCATAAAAGCTATATATTTAGAGTGTTCATCAAGTGGGAGTCAGGGCAAAAAGAGAAAAAATAGTATGTCACAACTCTCATTCCCAAAAAGGCATTCACATTGTCCTGAAATTAAATTCTAAGAGTTTTCTGACATGAGGCTTTCACAGTTCGTTGAGCAAATATAATGGCTATGTCCTTAACAATAATTTATAATAAAGACAAAATCAATATTTATATGGCCTTTTTCTATAATAATCCCTTAATAGAAGCAGAATGTAAACCTTAATGTTCAACTCAGGGTAGGTGATTTTGCCAGGAAAAAGCTAACATGGTCCATGTATTCAGACTTTTAGGAATCAGTAGAAAACATTAAGAATATCTAGTTGTACCGTGGACAATGGATGCATAGGTGATGTTCTTCAGACACCTCTTCTCTCAGCTAGGCCCTTGACAGGAGCTGGACTGCAAAATTTTCAAAGGTATACTCTTAGCCCTGGTGTTCTGTGTTAACTGAAAGCAGATCCCTTTGGGAATCAGATTTTAATGATTTGTTTGTTTTGATGGGGGTGGCGAGAAGAGTGATGGGATAAAGAAGAAAAGGAGGGGAAAGACAGAGTTAAAGTCTTATACAAGCCTGTCACATCCTTTCACCTGTGCGGAAGGCCCCCCAGCTTTGTGTGCAAGTTGGCTGTTCAGATGGTGCTATGTAACAAAGCTGGGTTTTTCTTAAGAGGTAGATTCATGTTCATTTCAGCACTTGTGTTTGTGCTCATTTTATATGCTAGAATTCTTGCCTTTCTCAGTATAAGAGATAAGAAAAACCAGTGTTTTTCCTACTCTCACACACCATTCACCTCTCACTCCACTTCTGACACCAGATTGGGGGTGGTGTAAGCAGTCACTTCTCCAGTGGACACTAGCTGGGTGTCCTGCAATTTAATTTAACTCAATTCTGACTCTATCTTACCTGGAGTTAGAGTCAGATCCCACAGGTGAAGGCTCAGTCCCACAAGACTGCCCCCACTTCAGGTGCCAATAGCAAGCTCCAGGTTGTTTTACCTGTGCTTCTGACCAGCTGGCTATAAATCTGGGTTCCCAACAACCATTTCCTTGGGTTCAATTAATTTGCTTGAGCAGCTCACAGAACTCGGGGAAGCACTTTACTTACATTTACTGGTTTATTATAAAATATATTAGAAAGGATACAGATGAAGAGATGCATAGGGTGAGATATGGGGGAAGGAGCATGGAGCTTCTATGCCCTCCCGAGACAACCCACCCTCTAGGAACCTCCATGTGTTCAGCTATCTGTAAGCTCCCAAACCCAATCCTTTTGGGGTTTTATGGAGGCTTTCTTACATAGGCATGAAGATCAACTTAACCTTCAACCCTTCTCCCATCACTGGAGGTTGGGGGTGGGGCTGAAAGTCCCTGGCAACCAGCCCCCATCCTGAAGCTTCCCAGGATCCCACCAAGGGCCTCATTAGAACAAAAGATGCTCCTATCACTCAGAAAATTCCAAGGGATTTGGGAGCTCTGTGTCAGATTGTCCTATCACTGAAGAAATTACAAAGGTCTTAGGAATTCTGTGTTAGAAACTGGGTTCAGGGGCCGGCCCTGTGGCTCACTCGGGAGAGTGCGGTGCTGATAACACCAAGGCCGAGGGTTCGGATCCCACATAGGGATGGCCGGTTGGCTCACTGGGTGAGCGCGGTGCTGACAACACCAAGACAAGGATTAAGATCCCCTTACCGGTCATCTTTTAAAAAAAAAAAAGAAACTGGGTTCAAAGACTAACTAGCAGAACAAAAGGTTCTCCTAGCACCCAGCTACAAGAGTTTTAGGAGCTCTATGTCAGAAACCAAATGTATTTCTTATATCACACTCAGCTATTGACAAACCTGAAGAATTTTTCCACAGAAAATATGATTTTGAGAAATATAGCTCCCAATCTGTGTGTTCCAATAAGGCACCGAGAGAGTCTGGAAGCAGAATTTAAAATAATTGATTCACCTCTTAAAGTTTTCACAAGTGCATACAAGTTTCAGTAGCTCTGGGTTTCTTAGTGATGAGACTTCAGTCCATTCTGTTAATATATTTCAGTAATGTAAAGAGGGACAGGATGACTGTTACAGGTTATTTTATTTTCTTATGTTTAGAAACATTTATAGGATCAACTTTCTGATATGGCAACTTAGACAAGTTCTCAGAGATTGGTTGTAAGCGTATTTCTTTTTTTAGACTGAAACTAGAGACACAGATTTATCCATTTATCAAAGTTGAGTGCATCCACTTGTCTGCTTTTCCCACAGGCGCTCGTGGAAGGGTCTGGGCAGCCCCTGCCACTGTGGATAGGGTAGAAAGGGGATATCCCACCATCTGCTCTCAGTTCTCCATTACACAATTGGCAGAGCATTCCAAAAATATTCTTGAAATTTTCTTCGTATAATTTCAAATTTTATACCTTCTACAAATGCGTCCCTTCTATGGATGGAGAATATCAGTCTACATGCCTCAGAATGTGAAGTATTAATACAATGCCAATACCTAGGCAAGGTGCTTTCACAACTGTGCTATGTTATTTTTTTTATTGTGGCAAAATTTACATAAAGTTTACCATTTTAACCATTTTTAAGCAGCATTAAATACCTTTACATTTTTCTGTAACGGTCACCACCATCCAGGTCTAGGACTTTTTCATCTTCCCCAGCAGAAATTTTGTACCATTAAACAATAATAACTCTGCATTCCCCCTCCTCTAGCCCTGTGGTATGTTATTTAATGCCACAGTAACCCTGAGGAGTAGGTAATATTGTTCTCATTTTAGAGGTGAGGAAAATGAAGCTCAGAAAAGTCATCCAAGGTCATACAGTTAGTAAGTGTTTGAATGAGGATTTAAGCCCAGGTCTTTCTGGCTCTGAAGCAGAGTTTGCGTGGTTCAGAGGTCTTCCATGGCCTGCAGATATGTTTTGTTGGGTCTGCATAGTGTTTCCCATAATATGGACGAGTGGCTAACATTTAAAATGGGAAGATTTCACTTGCAAATGTGGATTTCTGGCTGCTCTTGAAGACTGATGATCTGGTGACATGGACTGCATCCTCATGCAGCTGTCAGCTGGCACTGAGGGGCACTTGTGCCATATGGCTGCAAGCAGGGCTGCATTCTCGCCCATATTTGCCCTCCTGGTCTAAAGTCTGTGCTCTTCTCACTCCTGTGCTGCCTGACTCACTTGTCCTAGAGGTCTCCTGAAGAGGACGATCTCTGGACTGATTTAAGAATTAATTAACCTTGGTTCATATTTACCTCTTTTAGTGGAAGTACATCAATGAATACATTTTTATGTCTTAGCTGGATTTTCATGTTCAATCTTAGGATTTTCATCACAAAAGAGTAAGAAGACCTTAGGGCAGAAACTGTTGGGTATGTTCCCATCAGAAAACAGTTTTAAGAGGACTGAAGACCAGGATAATCCTCAAGAAGTCCTTAAGATGCTTATAGATTTGGTTAGTATCTTTGCTTTCTTTCTGTTGGAGATAGTGGTTAAGCTAATCTATTTGCTTCCTTTTAGTTCAACTCTTCATCTATATATTTGCCTTTTAAAAAAATATTAACAGTTATCTGTACATATTTGTGGGGTACAGTGTGTAGCTTCTATACATGCATATACTGCACAATGATTCACTTACTGCAGATAGCATAGCTTTGTGCCTGTCAATCCACCACTTCCCTCCCCTCCCTATGCTTGCCTTTTATGCCCTTTTCTCAGTTGGAATAACATACTACAAATTGGTGGTATTCATCTCCTTAAACCTCTGAATGCTCTTTCCACTTCTCTTATTCATGTTTTTATTGTGCAGGTTTAAAGCTCTACCTCTGAAAAGAGGGGGCTCCTGTAACTACATCCAGCTCTGTCATCTGCATTTAGATATACAGTTTGTGATAAGACCGTCTATTTATTTAAGCATTTTTAAAGTGTTCAAGGCACTTCCTGACATGTTATATCTTTTAATCATTACCACAGCACTGAAATCAGTCCTGTTACCCCTGTTCCACAAATGATTAGACTAAGATGCTGAGAGATTCAGGTTATATGAACATACTTATCTCTAAAGAATGTTAAAGTAATTTATTTGCATATAAATATATAAAAACAATTTTACATACAACTTAAACATTCTCTTAGAAATAAGTACATGTTGGTATTATATATATATGTGTACTCCTATATATATATATATATATATTCACCACCCCACCCCCAGATGACTTATAAAAGTTTCAATAGAAGGAATGCTGTCTTCTGTTCCTCTTTCTAAAAACAATCCTTAATAACACAGGATAATGATTGGGGAGCAGGTGATACCTAATTTATTCATACTGATTGACTTGACAGATTTAGGTTTGAACATTTTGATAAGATACTACAATATTCCTTTCTCTGAATATATTCTATGATTTATTGACTAACTGGTGCATTTTAATTTCTGTGTATGCAGCTGAATGATAAAGAAGAAGCTTTGGCTCACCAAAGAAAAGTTAGTTACATGCTTGCTCGGGCCTTGGAAGACAAAGACACTGCCTCAAAAGAGAATAAAGAAAAAAATCCTACGGAACAGAATTTCCCATTCAAAAACCCCGGGCATAAAACTTCAGAATTCTCTGTTTTGCATGATGCTGTACATTCACATGTCCAGATTTTTAATTCTTTGGGCTGTGTTTGTTCAATCCAGCATCCTCAAGCAGATCCAAACTTCACAAGAACTCTTAAAAGATCCTGTTCTTTGCCATCAAATTTCATACTTTGAAGACAAACCAGTTGAAATTGGAACTGAGAGCTGTTTATATCAAGAGACTTTGAAAAAAGATTGTGTAAATATTGCTTGCTACACATCTTGAGAAGTTGTATGTTTTCTAAGTTTTTCTAAATTTTAGGAGGCAACTTACCTGATCAAACTTTTTCTACATTTTCCACAGAAAATGTAGTAGTAGTAGTATTCTGTGTTGACATATTTTATTTATAAGTTACATTGCTATATTTTGTGAAGTTTTCAGTGTTTGCCAATATTTTAAAAACAAAAATGATGATTTTTTTTGAGAGACAAAATTATTTAACTATATAGATTACTACAGGGATCTTACATTGGCTAAATCAGCAATATAACTAATGTTCTAAGATGATAATGCCTAGGAGTGACTGAATGTTAGTTTCTGAAATACGTTTGTCTCATTTTATTTGTCTTTTTCAGGATTTTTCATTTATCATATAAAGTTTAAAAATAATAATTTTCTGAAGTTAACTTCAGTAAAAAAGTTATGATAGTTGGACTTTGGCAGAAGTATATTCAGAGTCATTGTTAGTTACCTTCATTGCTTCCTTTTTTGTCAGAGTGATAAGATTTTTGTAGCCAAATCTGCACATATTTGTAGCCAAGTTTACAAGATGCTTACCAGCTGTCCCTCTCTTTGCATCCTGTGAGGTGGATATGATGGTCCAGGAATGGGGTCTTGGATCTGAGGAAGCTTCCTAAGGTGACACATCTAAATCAGGACCTGAACAAGATGAATTCCAGGGTTTTTGCTTTTACCTGCCATGTGATTTTACATAAATCAAGATCTGAATGTCAAATAAAAATTTACTGGGGCCAATGGAAAATGGCATAAACACTGAAATTTTCTAGTCATGAGGTATTTTAGTAATACTTCCTTGTCTGTTATGAAACACTGAGAATTAAAGAGAGAACATAAAACAAAGCAAAACAAAAACATTAATAAAGAATACTTTTTTGGTGGCTGGTTGGTATGGGGCCCTGAACCTTGGACTCTGGTGTTACAAAGCAAAACAAAAACATCAATAAAGAATACTTTTTTGGTGGCTGGTTGGTATGGGGCCCTGAACCTTGGACTCTGGTGTTATCAGCACCATGTTCTAACCAGCTGAGCTAACCAGCCAGCCCTAAAGAGAGAATACTTTTAAAAAACACAAAGCTCTTATTCCACGATAGTCTAGAGTAACTCAGAAGTTTTCACAGCTGGATTTAGGTTATGGACATAATATAGTAACCAATCGGTTGGTTACTATATTAGGCCTGTTAAAGAGAGACTGAAGAACCATGTGAATGTATTTATGTAACTTACCTTTGAGGCAATAGTATATAGTCATGGATAAGGAAATATTTGGGGGAATCAAAAAACTAAGGTGTCTTCACAAATTTCCCCTGAATTCAGAACAAGTATTTGGTATTTCAGTAAGTTTCCTGTTCTATATTATATATAATCAGTCTTGCTTAATAACTATTGATCATCTATAAGATTTAGGAAAATAGTTATTATTTGGAAAATTATGTAGTGTTTCCCAAACTTTTGGATTATAGTATTTTTATTTTTATTATTCCAGGAGTACCTATTTAATATGAAGGTACTTCAAAAAGTTCATGGAAAGATTTATATCTTTCAATTCTATTTTTCCACAAACTTTTAAAAGTGCCCTTGTATCTTTCTGAACTAGTATTGGTAAATATTGCTATGAAGCCATACTTGTTTCCATTTATTAGTCTCATCAGTACAAGTGGCACAAAAGTACTTCATTGCAACATCATTTGTACGAGTAAAAAAATGGGAAGAACCTAAATGTCTCCCCATAGGGAAATAATTAGGTCTGTAATGGGCATTAATATTATGAAAACTATTGAAAACAGTGAAGAACATCCATATGTATGTCTGTGGAAGAGCTCCACAAATGAAAAATGAGCAGTGTGCATCCACACTCTTTAGGGAAGAGTCTCGTGTGTTGATACATACTGTATTAGTCCGTTTTGTGCTGCTATAACAGAATACCTGAGACTGGGTAATTCATACAGAAGAGATTTATTTGGCTTACAATTCTGGGACAGCTGCATCTGGCGCAGCCTCAGGATGCTTCTACTCACGGTGGAAAATGGCAGGCAGCTGGCAGGTACAAACAGTTCACATGGTGAGAGGAAGCAAGAGAGAGGGAGGTGCCAGAATCTTTTAAAGAACTAGCTCTCACAGGAACTAATAGAGTGAGAATTCACTCAACTACCTCCATCTCCCAGGGAGAGCATTAATCAGTTCATAAGGGATCTGCCTCCACAACTCAATCAGCTCCCAACACCGCCACATTTGGGATCAGATTTCCACATGAGTTCTGTGAGGACAATACATCCAAACTCCCTCACGTACATCATGCACACATGCCCATGTAAAGAGGAAAGACAGATTATCACCAAACTTTTTTTTTTTTTTAAAGATGACCGGTAAGGGGATCTTAACCCTTGACTTGGTGGTGTCAGCACCATGCTCACCCAGTGAGCTAACTGGCCGTCCCTATATGGGATCTGAACCCATGGCCTTGGTGTTATCAGCAGCACACTCTCCTGAGTGAGCCATGGGCCAGCCCCATGACTATCACCAAACTTTTAAAGGTTGTTTCTGGTGGAAGGTGTAACAGGTGGAGAGAAGCACATGAAAGAGAACAGAAAGGAACTTTTCCTCTATATTTCACTATTTGAAAAATTTAACAGCATGCATTACTTTAAGAAAAACTATAAAGGAAAGAAAACAGGTATGTGTTTTATATTTTACAATAAAAAAAGTTTGCGTGAGGAGGGGTTAAAGTATAATGCCCTTCAAATTGAGAAGGTATTTTGAGACTGAATAAGGAAGCAGGCAGGTCCATTCAGAGACATACAAAGATATTTGTTAATGGGGGTGACTAACACACATGAAAGTTGCACTCAATGAAGAATCAGATGTCAGCACATGAGAGCTCTAGCTCTGTATTTAGGCGAAGTTGTTTTATAGCAAAAGCTTTGTTATTAAAAATAACATTAAGGAAACAGGTCAAGAAAAATAACTTGATAGCATCGTTCATTAGATGTCTTGTGATCTATGAAGCTGGGCGGAGGGGGCGGGGGGGGCAGGAAGGAAGCGTGTGTTGTGATTTTAGTGCTCAGCCCACTGATGCCACCTGCTGTAATAAATCACTCCCTGAAACCTATGTTCCTTTTACAGCTTGCCGGAAGATTTAGGTATTAACTAGTCAGTGAGACGAATGAGATTAAGCAGAAGTCAACATTGCAGTCAGGGCACAAAGTGGCCTTGGTTGTGTTCACCCTCTAACAAAGTTTAAGAAAATTTGCAAAGTTCATATTTGATACAGCTAGGATTTTATCCTGTACATATGTAGGAATTTTACAGATATATTTAGGCTAGAGCACAGATATCTTGAATGGCTACTAATTGCTGCTCTGTTTGCAGACACAAATGGCTGTAAACAATACAAAGGTCCACCAATACAGAAATGTTTGATTCCTGAGATATAGCAAGTGAATAACAGAATGCATGTGTTAGACACATTTTATGAGTGTCTTCAGATTCCTCTGGTACTATTATCTCCTGGACCCTTAGCTCCTGTAACTGCCACATACCACTCTTCCAAAGGGATGCTTACAATTTTGTTGCAGTTTCCAATCAACTTAGCTTAGTGCAGCTTTGGAGCTAGTCAAGTCCTAGCCCTGGGTTTGATTTTTGCTGCTTTTTCCAGTCTTGGATGAAACATGTATCATGGGTATGGGACCTTGTCTCCTGAATGGCTGCCAAAGAGGCCAGATGATGCAACCTGGAAATGCGGGAGAGCTAACTTTCTGGAAAGTTGACCAATGGGAACATGAGTAGAAAGAAAAATCCCCTCTTTCTCCCTTCCAGACTGTTCTGTGGCATGATTTTCTCTGATTGCCCAGTGTGGCCAAGTGTGTGCCCAGCATGACTGAGCATCCAGCTTTCTCCTTTTCACAGCTTACAAAGCAACGACAGTGTAACTTTTAAAATTTTCTTCCTAGCCTTGCTTCCCTCACTATTACTGATGTGGATTGTGCCTTCTAAATGGAGCACCAGTACCTGATCCTTGCCTCACACCTGTTTTCTCAAGGTCTTGGAATAAGAAAGAACTGTGTGTATATTGTATAGCAGGAAATGGCCTTTGCACTGAAACAATGTGTGGGTGGGGGAACATACAGCTTCTATATGCACAAGATATCTCTGGAAGGAAACAAAACAACAATAACTGCTTCTGAGGGAAACTTACAAAGAAGGTCAAGGGTGGAAAGGCAGAGAACTTTTTTTTTTTTTAGCTATATGCATATTACTTATGTTTCCTAATGATTGCTTCCCAGGTGATTTTGATGGGAAGTCAGGTTTCAGAACCAAGGACTTAACTCCTTTCATGCCAAGGCCCTTTACTCAGGATTATTCTGCTTTCTATCAAACTTCCTTGGGTTTTGCATGAGGCCTCACTATATCCTATAGTCTTTTTCTGGGACAGCATAAGGACATGAAATCTACAGATATCCCCAAGATTTCATTTTAACTATTCAATTGTGACTCCATCATTTTAGTAACACCAAAATACTCTTGCAAACGCTCATTTCTGATGGCATAACTGGATAAATCCACATTCAGAAAGTGAGTGCTGTTTCTTTTGGAGGTTTGGTTTTATCCTCTCAGTACATTTATCCTGAATGTATAGAACTTTTATATGAGGTTCTAAATAAAAGAAAAAAGCCAAGAACTACAAAATTGTTGAATATAACAATCTATATTATGGATTTACTTTTCTTATATTCTTCTACAGCCAGTAAAACTTAACTGTGAACAATTACATGATCAAATAAACGTGTAGAGATGATATCCATGTTTTGAGCCGAAAGAGACTTTCAAGCCTGGCATTCACTCTAGGTTTGAAGAATTCTGGAAAAGAATAATTCTGAATCTGACAATCCAGTTTTCTAATGTAGAAAATGACTGGCAAATTCTAAGAGGCTAAAAATTCCTCTGGGGCATTAGAAAAAAATGACATGGAAAATTGGTTCTATCTATCCTATCACAGATGTTAAAACCAAGGTCTGGAGTAGGAAAGGATGTGCCTTTGGCCCCTAGCTAGCAAGTGGCAGGCCCAGAAAACCCTGCTGGAATGCTGTATACACCAACTTTTGATTTATAGTTGGTGGTGGCAGTGCTAAGGGGTCCTTATCAAAGAAGCACAGGTAGCATTTCTTATCAGCATGCAGATCAGAGAAGTTCCTCATAATAAGGCCCAAGAAAGGAGGGCCAAAATAGGGGGAATGCAACAAGAACACATCTGACAAGAAAGAAAAAGATATTCTAGTAATGTCAGAGGACCACTGAGATGGACTGCTGGGAATGGATACCAGCAAATGTAAGGTGTGCACTCCATGCACCCATAATGGAATAAACTTGTTTGCTTTCACCTTTTTTCTTCAGGCAAGGCTGTTTTCTCCCTCAGACCGATTCCACTGAGAAATTTAAGGCAGCCTAGCAGTTTATCAAACTCCAGGTTTTCTAACTGCAAAGCCCCATGCTTTTCGCCATTCTACCCCCGTTGGAGAGCATGTCCCAGGAGGCGAGGCTATGAAGACTAAAGTAGGCTTGTTTTACCGCTACACCTGAATGAAACGTTTTGTGACATGGCAGGAAAAAACATGAAGTGCGTGGATGCAATACATTAAAAATAAACTAACAACAAGGCTGAAATGACTGAAGGACAACTATGATTGAAGTGACCTGCACATAAAATCCATGCCAATATACAAGCAGATTGCTTTAGGTACGTGCAATCTTCTGCAGTAAGGCCAAACTGCAGAATTATAAGTAATATCAGGTAGTCTAAGAAATACACTATGAGGTAGTGACTCCCAAACTATTGGACCTCAGAACCTTATTACTCCAAAGAAGTTTTGTTTGTATGCGTTATCTGTCAATATTCACCATTAGAAACTAAATAATCTTTATTTCTTAATTCACTTAAAATAACAATACATAGTTTATATCTTAACATAGATATTTTTATGAAAGTATTTTTTTTCTGAAACAAAAAATTTCATTTGAAGAGTACCACTGTTTTTTTCAAAACTTTTTAATGTCTACTCAAATCTGCTGTGACGTTATTTTTATTTATGAAGAAAAGCTGGTCTCCCACAGATATGTAGTTTGAAGAGAAAGTATTTTAATAGCTTTTTCAGAAAATTGTGCTATTCTTTGATACTATCCAAAACTTGAGGACAAATGGTAGCTCTTTAGAAGTTAGTTGCCGTGTGGAGTCCAAAACTTTATCATTGAACTTCCTGTACTCTGGTACATTAAAATCCTTTGCTCTATCTTGAACTCTGAGTGGTTCTTTTACCCATGCATGATTTTGTAACATCATGTATCGGTCATTTGAAAAATACTGGCTCACTAAGTTACACCAATCTTCAAAATGCTGACATATTTCATTATACAATATCAAAAAAGGATATTCATTAATATTACCAATGATCTCAGCAGGAAAGTATTAGGAGACTGTCAAGATTACAATGGTAAATATAGTTTTTCCAATATTCTAATTTGTGCGTGAAAGTTCAGATTTCATTAACAAACACTGTCAGTTTTCCTTCAAATAGCAGGCTCACTTCGTACTTTCAAGAATACGTCTGCCAACTACTCACATCTGAATAACCATACTTCTGCCAGATATTCTTTCAA